TGTTATGGTTTAGAAATCAGGTGTCTCCCACAAGCTCCGGTGTGAGACAATGTAAGAAAGCTTAGATATTAAATGATTGGGTAATAAGAAGCTTAACCTAACTAGTACATCAATCCCTTAATAGGGATTAACTGAGTAAAAACTGCAGGCAGGTATGGTATGGTTGGAGGAGGTGGGTCATTGGAAGGTGTGTCTTTGGCATATATAATTTGTTCTTGGTGAATGGAGCTCTCTCTGCTTCCTGGTGGTCACGTCCTGAGGTGCTTTCCTCTACCACACTCTTCCACCATGATGTTCTGCCTCAGGCCCCAAAGAATGGAGTCGGTCATCTATGGACTGAGACTCTGAACTGTGAGTGCCAAATAAACTTTTCCTCCTCTAAAATTGTTCTTTTTAGGTCTTTGGGCCACAGCAGTAAAAAAGCTGACTAAAATGTGACTCCTGATAGAATCTTCATTTTATTTCTCTGGACATCACAAACTTGATTGCACAATATTAAAGTATTCTTACAATTACGTCCTTTTAGAGGAAATCTCAACCAATTTCTTTCTGACCTGGAAGTTCAGAAGCAGAGAGTGAGCCAAGCAGCCAAGACAGGGAATGAAATGCTCATGTCCATACTGGTTCACACCAACCTCAGTGGGCTCAAATATTGCCTCTTAGCTTGTGTAGGGCTCTGAATTTCATGCCTAACACTTGGTTCTCCTGACAAGAAACTGTCATTTTGGAGTCTGAATGTTTTGCTCTATATTTGATAGATTTACCATTAGAACAAACAAAAATATAGTCATAAAAATTATATATATATATATACATACATATATATATATATATATATATATAGAGAGAGAGAGAGAGAGAGAGAGAGAGAGAGAAATGTATAGTCATGTACATGTTGGGATTGGGTGGGTAAGGTGTAGGCAATTCCAAATGGTAAGTAATGCCAGATTTATTTATTTATGGTCCAGGGACTGAACCCAAGGGATGTGGCCACTGAGCCATCTTCCTCTGGCTTCCGCTTCTGGCTGCCCTCTGGGACGACTCTTTACCATATCTGGCCATACCTTTCACCTCCTGTGTTGGAATGCCTACTCTCTGATTCTCAGCTCTTCCCAAGTTTTGGTTTACTTTCCTATTTTGGTGAAACACATCCTCTAGTAACTTCTTGAGAAAGAGTGCATTGGAAGAGAATATTTTGAAACTGCATATCTAAAAATATCTTTGTTCTGCCTCATACCTAATTGATAGTTTGGCAGTCAGATTATTCTCTTATGGAAGCTAAGACATTTTGGTGTTAGAAAGCCTGCTGTGGGCGGGGATGTTGCTCAGAGGTACAGCGTTTACCTGGGATATGCAAAGACCTGGTTTAATCTCCAGCACTTGGCTGATGCTATTCTGAAGGCAATTTTTTGTATTTTAACTTTTTCCTGGAACCTTTACTAGTGTGAAAATTCACAGCAATGTGCACATGATGAAAGAGCAGGAACCTGGTCCATCTAATCATTCTGCACAGAGTTTCACCCAACCTCACACTTTGACCCCACACTTATTCCTTCTTGTCAATATACCTGTTTCCTCCAATTTCTGAGTCTTTCTGGGATTTTCTTGGGAAAACTAGCTTCTCATTAGTATCCTCAGCTTCAGGCACTTAAATTTCAGCTCCTACAATTTTGCTGTCAACTAGCAACCATTCATATTTTTATTTTCCAAATTTTTGTGAACACTCCTTTTCCTTTCTTAAATGCTTGACAGAACTCACCAATGAAGCCATCTGGACCTGGAATTTTCTTTGTAGAAAGATTTTTAATAATAAATTTCCTTGTTATATGACTATGAGATTTTCTATTTCATCTATGTAAGTTATTATATTGTATTTCACTGCAGAATTGTCATAGATTTTTATGCCAATTTTTTTTTGGCAAAAAAGTGGGGTGCAACCATTATGTGGTTAACCATTTATTTCTCAACTGTCTTGTGTAAGATTAGGATGCATGAATATACATTAAGACTGGATACTCCGAATCAACTCTTTATCATTTCTGCATGGTAGTTTAGCAAACATTTTTCTGGTGTGGAAAAAACAAAATTAAAGATTAGTTGTCATTAATTTGTTCATTACAGTTGAAACACTGCATTTGAGAAAATAAAGTATGGACTTACAAAATTTAATCTTCTCTGTCTAAAGATTCTGTGGCACTATCGTTGGTTTTATTATTTGATGTGCTATACTCAGTGCCACTCATAAGATGTGTTTAATGTGTTTACCTCTAGTATTGCAGTGCTCTATAGAAACCACACAAATCAGCTTTTGGATATATATTGATGTGGCATGCACCGGGAATTCTAGGCTTAGGGCTCATAGTGCAGGAGAAGAGCAACGTGCATTCACACACCACTGCTGTGAATATATTATTGCTGTTCACCTGTTAAGCATTGTGAAGAACAGAACTTCACTATGCAACAATTATATGATGAAAGGTTATAAACCAATTTTTGGACTGAAAAAACAGGGTATGACAATTATGTGGTGGTGATTATTATATGGTGAAATAAAGCAAAGTAAGCTCTGTTTTTTAAGGAACTTGCTGATTTCATCTAATTTATTGGCTTAAAGTTGTTTATAATATTTCCTCATTATCCTTTCAATGTCTTGTAAAAGCTATAATACCGTCTTCTATTTCATTCCTAATATAGGTGATTTGTGCTTTACTATTTTTTTTTTTTACAGTTTTGTTAGGGGTTTAACTTTACTAACCTCAAAGAACCAACTTTTGGCTTTGTAATACTTGTTAATCAGTTTTCAATATAATTGATTTTTACATTTATCTTGAATATTTCTTCTTACTTAGATTTAAAAATTTTTCTCTGGTTTTTTTTTCAAATACATAAATATTTTAAGCTACATAATTTAGGAAGCAAATACAATTACTGATTTAGTCTTTTACTTGTTTATTTCTCTGGTTTACTCAACCTTGAAAGAAATTTCTAATTCTTTTCTTAGGGAAAACTTTCTAGTGTTTCAGTAAATATACCCGTAGAGGAGTATGCATAAGAATCTAAAGAATATTATAAGGATCTAAAAAGCCTCATACTCCTGTTACATAACTCTTGATTTTTTTCACTCCATCTCAAACTGGGTTTCATGTGTTTACTCTAGAGATGCTTGAATGTTAAGAACCCTTGGTTCTGGTTTTGAATGCTATGTTGTAATTTACCACTGACTCATTCATCTGTACTCAAGTTTTTGGATGTAAATTTAGGTTAAATATGACTTCAGTTAATTTTTTAAAAAAATTTTTAATATTTTATCTTTAGTTGTAGTTGAACACAATACCTTTGTTGTTTTTTTTTTTTTAGAGATGCTCTTTATTTATTATTTATTTTTAAACTTTTTTTTTTTTTAAGAGAGAGTGAGAGAGGAGAGAGAGAGAGAATTTTTAATATTTATTTTTTAGTTCTCGGCGGACACAACATCTTTGTTGGTATGTGGTGCTGAGGATCGAACCCAGGCCGCACGCATGCCAGGTGATCGCGCTACCACTTGAGCCACATCCCCAGCCCATTACCTTTGTTTTTAATGTTTAGTTTTTAGTTGTAGCTGGACACAATACCTTTATTTTACTTATTTATTTTTATGTGGTGCTGAGGATAGAACCCAGGGCCTCGAAAGTGCTAGGCAAGCACTCTACCACTGAGCCACAACCCCAGCCCCAACCTTTGTTTCATTTATTTATTTTTATGTGGTGCCGAGGATTGAACCCAGGGCCTCCCATGTGGTACTGCTGAGCCACAACCCCAGCCCATTTTAAAGTTTTAACTATAACATACCAACAGCAACACTAGTACATTGTCTAGATTAAATTCTCCTTTGTTATAAACACTTACACTAATTTTTTTTACTTTTAGTTTTGGTATCGTGTGTGTGTGTGTGTGTGTATTAGAGAAGATAAACTATCTGTTATTTTGTTTTTGAGATGGGGCCTTGCTATATTGCTCAGGCTGGTCTCCAACTCCTGGGCTCAAGCAATTCTCCTGCCTTAGCCTCTAGAGTAGCTAAGGCTACAGGTGTATGCCTCTGTACTCAGCTCTAATTTATCTTTTAAAACTATAGGTCAAATCAGGTCTGCTAACAGAAAAAAATCTAATACACTTTATGTTTAGTCTTAAGTTAGTTAGAAATGCTTTTTGCAGGGTTAGGTATTAAACCCAGGACTTGTGTATGCTAGGAAAATAATGTACTACTGAGTTACATCCCTAGATCCAGGCTTTTGATTTTTAAATGCCAAGTGGGAAGGTATGTCTCTGTACTCAGCTCTAATTTATCTTTTAAAACTATAGGTCAAATCAGGTCTGCTAACAGAAAAAAATCTAATACACTTTATGTTTAGTCTTAAGTTAATTAGAAATGCTTTTTGCAGGGTTAGGTATTAAACCCAGGACTTGTGTATGCTAGGAAAATAATGTACTACTGAGTTACATCCCTAGATCCAGGCTTTTGATTTTTAAATGCCAAGTGGGAAGGTATGTCATTTCACTAGTCAAGAGATGATACAATTCAGTGGATTCAAAAGTATATACCTGCAGATGACATTTGCTTCTACCAATTTTATTTAAAAAAAGAAAAGTAAGCTAGGCATGACAGTATAAATTTGTAATCCCAGAGTCTCAAGGAGGCTGAGGCAGGAGGATTTAAAGTTTGAAGCAACTTAGCCGAGACCCTGTCTCAAAACAAAAAATAAAAAAAGGTTGAATTTTGGGATGCTTTACATACTAATTATGTAAAGCATCCCAAAATTCAATCCCCAGTACTGAGGAGGAAAAAAATTTTTAAAAATCAGATCTCATCACAGGATTTTTTTTTAAAACAGCATTTGGGTATAAAACACATTTAATATAATTAAACACTTTAAAGTACAACATGGCATATTATTTCCACAGATCATCACATATTAATGTACATGGATCATCTTTTTAAAATAACAAACAAACAAAAAAACCTCTGAAACTCAGCACAATACTTCATTTATTTATTGTATAAGTTTGGCAAACAGCACAAAAATCCAGCAACATTTTAAACATGTAAAAAAGTCAAATGTTGAATGGTATGGGGATTTTTTAAAACATCATTAGAAATAATGAGTACACATTTAAGATTCTGCAAAGCTACGAAAATGAGGGTGCTTGGCTTCTGAACATATACCACAAACATACATAAAAAAAGCAATATAATTTATCTTTACAAAAATTATAGCCAAGCAATAGAAATGAAGGCTGTTAATGATAAAGGTATGAGCTCATGTGTTGACCACATTTATCTTATACATGGAAATGCTACATCTTGTACCCTGAAATGCCATGTGCAGAGAGCCAAGCAAAGGAAATTGGGCTCATGACTGAGGTTAAGAATTGTTGAGAATACTTCTACTCAATTAAAATTTTCTATATAGCAATTCCTGGACAAAAGAATGTATTCCACTCTATATCTGAGAAGTTGAGACTTATTTGTTGGCAGTATAAAATTTCTGACCAGTATCAAAATTCTGGTAAAACACAAACTGAAGGCATTTTCTAGTGTATGATGCGTTACAGGGGCATCAACAAATGTGGAAGAAAAACCTAGATTTCACAATAAATTTCTGCTGAGCTTTGTCAAACCAAACAGCTCAACTATAAGGCAAGAGAAAATGCCCCCTTATGACAGGTTAGTGGGTTTCACCAAGTAAATATAGGAATCCAATCTTAGGAAAAGAACTTCCTGCATGAACAGATCTGAAAGAGTTGGCATTGAAAGGAACGTCTAGAAATTAACTAACGCCTTAACGTTCAATCATTGGTTCAGAAGCCTGATGAATAATCTGTTGGTATATATTATTAAATTAACTTTTTTTGGAATCAGCACCAGTCCCCAAAACCTCAAATTATAATATTTAATCTTGATTAAAATACATCATTTTTGTGCTATAGGAACACAACTATAATCAGTTAAAATAAAGCTGAACTGATTCAACTTATTGTATATTTTTAAGTATACAGGGTAGCAACTTAAAATTTCTTTTATTTACTTGTGCTTTGTTTTGGGGCACTTTGATTGAAGAAAAAGTCTTTTCATAGGATTACATCTTGCTAAAGCATTCCTTAGCATTGGTCCAAACTTGAATTCCCTTAAAAAAAAAAAAAAAGTATCTTTAAAATGTGATTCTGGAAAGATTCTAAAATCCCACATATTTGGTTTAGTGCATACTAAGTTTTGCTTTTTTAAGTTAACTAACAAGTCCAGTAAATAGCTAACATAAGGAAATATCTAATGCTTCTGATAATGTAAGAGAATCTCTTAAATGAGCTTATCTCCAAAATAGAAAAAGAACTTCTGTAACTTGTAAACTGAGTTTTCAAGGTTCAACCATAAACTCTTACTCATGTCATACTCTTATTGTTTCTACTAGTAAACCAAACAAGTTTTCTGGCAGTTTTATTCAAAGTAATATTTAAACAAAATTTTTATTGACAAAACTAATTTTTATAATTAAATAATTTAATGATTAAGTTAATTATTGTCTAAAAACTGATCATGTTCTAAATTATGAAATCCCTCTCATGGTTCTGGTACACTACTTAACACAAAGCTATAGATAATCCAAATATGCCTTAACAAAAAAAGCATGGTTATAAAGATATAATAGTAAAACCTAACCAAGAGATAAAAACAAAGGAATTTTTTTCAATAAGATATCCTACAATAATTGATTTATGAGAGAGGAATGTTTTCTTCAATACTTAAGCATTAAAGTATATCAATATTCACCAAGGCTTCAAACAATAGAAAAAAATTTTAGTTTCATTCCTCCTTAGTGGGATACAAAAGGCAGATAAATAAAAACAAAACATCTTTAAAATGTCTCAGATTGGCTGGATAAGTAACTAGATATAATAGCATTCACTGTTAGAATAAGATAGATCTCATGTACTGTCAAAGTTAGATGTCCATCAGACATCAAATGAAAGAGAAAAACTATACACTAATGTATATAATACAATCCTGTTTTTGTGTATATTTTCTAAATAATTGTATATATATCCAAAAATATCTAGAATAATACACATAAAGGGATTTGGGGGAGGTAGAGGAGAATTTTTACTTAACATGCTTCTGAATTATTTGACATTTTTGCAATGGGCATGTGTTATTTTTATAATAATTAATTTTAAAACTCTATAGACTGAAAAATTGTTTTTTAAAGGCTTTAGCCTACTTCATTCAATAAACTGGACAGATTGCCAATGAAAAGATAGACCAAAAAACACTTAGAAGTTCTATTTACTTTTAAAATACTTCATTCAGTTTTTATTTCACTTTATTACTACTACGACTCAGTCACCTGATTATATTCAATCAACACTTGGATTATATTCAATCAACACTTTGAATAGCTGAAATTATAATGATGATATATATATATATATATAAAAATAAAAAAATACCCAAGTAAAATATATAAAATACAGACACTGATATTTATACAAGAAAAACTGATGTTGATCTTGACTTGTGGCACTTAATTCTAAACAAAAGGACATTATCCATTTTCATATATAAAAATCTATTCTACTTAGGCAAGGAAATAAAACATGAGCCAGGCAAAGTGGCACACACCTGTCATCTCAGTGGCTTGGGAAGCTGAGGCAGGAGGATTGTGAGTTCAAAGCCAGCCTCAGCAAAAAATGAGACACTAAGCAACTCAGCAAGACCCTGTCTCTAAATAAAATACAAAATAGGGGTGGGGATATGGCTCAGTGGTTGGGTGCCTCTGAGTTCAATCCCTGGTACCCAAAAAAAGAATAAAACAGAAAACATCCCTTCTTTTTTTTCTTTTGGTATTATTATTAGGAATGATATTTTACTGCACTGTCAAGAACATCATATAATCAAAGTTATACTGTCAGTACATATTTTCAGATACAAGTTATAAATGGGGGATATAGATTTGAGAGTTTATTTATAAAGTGGAAATAATAACTGACCTTTTTAATTACAATCTTTCTTCAAAATTAAGTAGAGAAAATAGGAAAAGTTTTAGAAAGAAGAATGAAAAAAATATTTTTGGGGGCCAAACAAGAGAATTTATAGAAATGTGTAAGCACTTGTGAACGTAGCCATTATTTTTGCAGAACTCAAACCTACCTTTTTACACATGCTGATCTGCATGACAGCATAACTTATGAGGGCCTCCTTTAGGTCACGGTTCTTTTGTTCTTTGAATCGTTCAATATCAGTCCATGCATTTTTCACAAATTCTCTGAAATAAAAGATAAAGTTATTAGTATTCTTATTTAAATTAAATAGACATGGGATGGGATGTAGCTCAGTGATAGAGCTCTTAACTGGTATACACAAAGTACTGTGTTCCATCTCTAGCACCACACAGAAAAAAATAATAATAAAATAAATAGACTGTACACTATAAATTCAACTAACCATTCTCTTCAGAGATGGTTTTTAATTGGCTACATCAAAACCAAAGTTATTGCTTGTATAAGACAGTTCTATTTTTCCTTTTCCTATAAATTACAGTGAGGGGAAAAGTCAGAGATATAACTCATCTACATTCTAGTAACTACATTTTGTTCACAAATTATTCCTTTAAAAGGGGCTGGGGTTGTGGCTCAGTGGTAGAGCACTTGCCTAGCATGCTCGAGGCCCTGGGTTTGATCCTCAACACCACATAAAAATAAATAAACAAAATAAAGGTATTGTGTAAAAAAAAAAAAACAGATATAGATTGGCTCCCTGAATCAGCTCACAAGTCCTACAGATGCCACAATGAAGTGTCTTCCTGGGTTCACCGGAAAAAATACACCTTTTTTTTCTTCCACTAGGGACTAAACCTAGGGCATATTCATGCATGCTAGCCAAGAGCTTTACCACTGAGCTCCATCTGTAGTCCCACCACACATACTTTATTTTTGAGGCAGGGTCTCAATAAGTTGCCCAGGCTAGCCTTGAATTTGAAATCTTTCTGGCTCAACCTCTTAAGTACTGGTATTACAAGTGTGTGACACAGTGCTTGGCAAACACAGGCTCTTGATGAGATGGATTATGAATCACATTCAGCATGTACATGGTTTAAATAACATCTAGGGTTTTAAAAATTCTAACTGCACAGCCAGGTGCAGTGTCACACGCCTATAATCCCAGTGGCTTGGGAGGGCAGAAGTAGGAGGATTCCAAGTTCAAAGCCAGCCATCGCAACTTAGCTAAGCTTAGGTAACTGAGACCCTGTCTCAAAATAAAAAGGGCTATAGGGCTGGGGTTGTGGCTCAAAGGTAGAGTGCTCACCTAGCATGCATGAAGCACTGGGTTTGATCCTCAGCACCACATAAAAATAAAATAAAGATATGTAAATAAAAAGGGCTAGGGGTGTGGCTCAGTAGTTAAGCACCCCTAGGTTCAATCCCCAGTACCAAAAAATAAAAATAGTGCTGGGTACAGAGGTACACAGCTACCATCCAAGCTATGTGGCCTAGGGGTTCATGACCATTGGGGCAACACAGTGAGACCCTGTCTGAAAAAAATTTTAAATGCTCATAGGCACTTTCCTTTTCAATTCATGAAAGTTCACTTTGACTTATTTGGTGTAAGCCAATAATACACTCTTGGTCTGCCTTCGTACATTTTACTGACTGACTGTCAGATGAAAACAATAAAGAAAATGAACTAAACAGTGATAGCAGACCTGAGAACTAAATTTCTAGAAATATTTACAGATTAATTACATGTCAAACATTATGCAAGGTATTGAAGAACAAAAAAATGTAAGATACAGTCCTTAACTTTGAAGTTATCCAGGGAGAGCTACACAGAACAACCAACCACCCAACACAGAACTGCCATGCTTCAGCGTCAGGAATCAAGTGCTAAGATCGCCTGAGAGGATAAGGGAAAGCTTCACAGTGAAATAACCCTTAAGCTGGGTACTGAAGATGATCAGGCTTTTTGCTAAATGGAGCAAGAGGGCAGAGAGAATGTGCCAAGAATAGAAATTAGGAAGTCTACAAAAATAATATTATGAACTTGAAACCCCATGTTTTCTTCCTTTTCCCCCCACACTAATATAAATGTTTCTATAACATGATTTTTTTGATAACTTAAATTTCTTAGAAATGTAATGACTACATTTTAGAGGAACAGGCTGTATCCAGAGGGGTCAATGAAGCTGGGAAATAATATTAAATAAATAAATAATCCAATGGTAGTCCAGGTTGAACTTCTCAGAATTTTTACCTGCCTTCCAAATTTTTAGACTTTAGCTGTTGTTCTCCTTCATTTATTTGTTCTTCTAACACCTTGATTCTGGCTTCTCTTTGCTCTGGAGTTTCTTGACCAAAGAGCTTGGTAGTCATTCCCTTCAAAGAGAATGTCCTCACAGTCTAAAAGAAAATAGAAACCGAAGAACAGACAGTGCGATATATATACCTGGTGGAATATTATTTAGCCTTAAAAAGGAAGGAAACTATCACATGTGCTACAATACAAATGAGCCTAGAGAACATTATGCTAAGTGAAATATGCCAGTCAACGACAAATACTATGGGGCTGGGGTTGTGGCTCAGTGGCAGAGTGCTTGCCTAGTATGTGTGAGGCTCTGGGTTCAATCCTTAGCACTGCATGCGAAAATAAATAAAGGCATGATGTCCATCCACAACTACAAAAAATAAAAGACAAACACTATATAATTCCACTTAAATTGATATATCTAGAGTAGTCAAAATTATAGTCAAAGAAAGCAAATGTGGTTTCCAGGAATTACAGAGAAGTAGAAGAGGAGTTGTTTAATGGGAACAGAGCTTTGCAAAATGAAAAGAGCTCTAGAGATGGGTTTGCACAACAATACGAAAATATTTAGTACTACTAAACTATACACTTTAAAAATGGTTAAGAATGATAAACTTGGGGCTGTGGTTATAGCTCAGTAGTAGAGCGCTTGCCTAGCATGTATGAGGCACTGGGTTTGATCCTTAGCACCACATAAAAATAAATAAAATAAAGGAATTGTGTCTATCTACAACTAAAAATGCATATAAAAATGGTAAATTTTATGTTTTGTATATTTCATAGCTCTCCACTCTCAGAAATAAAAAATATTGGCCATTTCTCCCTACTACTTTCGATAGAAGCACCATAATCTTTATAACCACAGGACTCCTAATATGATTTCTAATACTGGAATAATAAAGAAATGTCAAAAAGGAGGAAATTAGTGGCACAGATCTGTAATTCCAGCTACTCAGGAGGCTGAGGCAAGAGGATTTCAAGTTCAAGGTCAGCCTGAGACTTGGCAAAACACTCTCAAAAGAAAAAATAAAATTAAAAAGGGATATCTCAGGGGTAAAGTGCCTAGCATGCACAGACCCTGGGTTCCATCCCCAGTATCACAGAAAATAAAATAAAATATTACTCTGACAAAAATAAAACAAAACAAACAACAACAAAACAGATAAAATTCAACAAGCAACTATGGAAATAAACCAAACTAAAGAATGTAAAATCTGCATATCTCACCCTGAAACATAAGAATCTATTACTAGAACAAGATGCCTAAACCCAAGCATTACAGGGCAACCTTAAAAAAGCTTTGCTGTTTTACTATTTCCTTACTCACTGGAGTTTGTTAATGAAAGCACTTCCCGTCACATGAAGTAACAGAGAACCATGCTTACTGAAAATGTCTTGGGACTTCCTATGAGTTCAGGAATAAATCAAAGACCTAATCTAATGGCTTATGGTCAGAGATCTTTTCCTACACATATGTATTACTTTTCATAGATGTAGCAAGTGAATAATCTATGTGAAAACCACTTTTAAAACTAAAGTACTAGGGGCTGGGGATGTGGCTCAAGTGGTAGTGCGCTTGCCCAACGTGCATGGGGCACTGGGTTTGATTCTTAGCACCACATAAAAACGAAATAAAGATATTGTGTTCTCCTAAAAAATAAATATTAAAAAAAAACACTCAAGTACTAGTTAACCATGAAGTGAATGAGAAAACAGTGGCACTATCATTGCTTCACAAATACTTCCAAAATATGTCTCTCATCGTAGGAGCTAATGTATTTCAGTGAAGTAGCTGAACAGTACAGAGCTGATTATAAAAATGACCTAAGTATATGCAATTCGATATTGGGCCAGGTGTGGTGGCACGTATCTGTAATCCCAGCAACTCAGGAGGACTGAAAGTTGAAGGTCGGCTTTAACAACTTAAGGAGACCCTGTCTTAAAACAAAAAATAAAAAGGGCTGAGGATGTAGGTTAGTGAAAGAGTTCCCTGGGTTCAATTCTCAGTTTAAAAACAAAACACACACACACACACACACACACACACAGAAAAAGGAAAAAGATACAACATTTTCTTTATAAGTATGCACTGTAAGCATTAAAGAATAAAGTACACAAAAAGCTCCTTGTTAGGAGAGATAAATTGATTCTAATTGGGTAAAATTTTTCAAAGTAAACTAAAACTTCTATAAAATACCTTTCCAAATAAACCTGACCAATCCCCCCCGCCCCCGCTCTTTTTTGGTACCAGGGATTGAATCCAGGGGTGCTTTACCTCTGAACCACATCCCCAGCCCTTTTTATACTTTATTTAGAGACAGGGTCTGGCTGAGATACTTAGGGCCTCAATAAGTTGATGAGGTTGGCTTTGAACTTGTGATCCACCTGCCTCAGTCTCAAAAGCTGCTGGGATTACAGGTGTGTGCCACCATACCAGGCCTGACAAATTCTTATAATATCATACAGAACATGTTTTTTTAGGGGGCGGGGGGTGTACCAGGGATTGAACTCAGGCACTTGACTACGGAGCCACACCCCAACCCCTATTTTGTAATTTTATTTATTTTTTTTTGGATAGAGAATCGAACTCAGGGGCACTCGGCCACTGAGCCACATCCCCAGCCCTATTTTGAATCTTTATTTAGAGACGGGGCAACTTTATTTAAAGACAAGTAACTCACTGAGTTGCTTAGTGCCTCACCTTACAGAGATTGGCTTTGAACTTGTAATCCTCCTGTCTCAGACTCCCAAAATGCTGGGATCACAGGCGTGCACCACCGCACGGAGCCTGATATCTTCTTATATCAAGAAAACTAAATAATCAATACAGTTGCTTACAAATTATTCTGTAAAAGGTACAAGCATACTGTGTATTGTAACTGTAGCTGATTCCTCATGAGCCTTGCTACAATAATATCAAAGACCTAAAGAAAAATACTCACCCCAGTTGCAAGTTCTTCACACTGCTGCTTCTTGGAAGCTAGATCCTGGGCAGCCATCTCCAGGTCATACTGCATAAGTTCATGTTTCCTGCACACAGCCCTGGGGATGAAAATAGTGCTGCCATTTAACTTTTTCTGGCTTCTCCTTTAACATGTTAAAAAAAATTTTTTTTTCAGGAGTACAGGGAAGCATTCACAATTCCTTACTAGTTCTGACATTTACTAGAGGAAGAGAGAGAGTGAGAGAGAAAGGGATTCTAATACAGAAATGAACAACATCAAAATGTCAAGAATCCTTTTTCACCCACTCCTACTATCCAGGCACAACTCATGTATAGCCTTCTAGAATTTCTTTTTTTTTGGTACCAGGGATTAAACCCACAGGTGATTAACCACTGAGTCACACCCCGAGCCCTTTTTTGTATTTTATTTAGAGATGGGGTCTCGCTGAGTTGCTGAGGGTCTCACTAAATTGCTGAGGCTGGCTTAGAACTTGAGATCCTCCTGCCTCAGCCTCTTGAGCTGCTGGGATTATAGGGGTGCGCCATCATGCCTGGCTTCCTTCTAGAATTTAGATAGGCATTTACAAAGTTCACACATTCCAAATGTTTCTACAACTTTTCTCACTTATATGTGCCATGTCAATATACATTAATCATTATTTTTAGGAACCGCACAGAATCCACTATATTCAGCAACTTTCTTTTCCTTGGTGACTTGAAGATACTTTGGTGAAACTGACTGCTACTGAAATCACTAAAGGAAAAAAGCTAACAATGTGTGTTTTAAACACCAATTACTTAACAGTTATACTACTTTTCTGTTTTCCTAACAGAATTCTTACATTGCTTTTTTGCAATAGGGAAACTGATCAAAAGTCACCTCTTCCAGAAAAATGATTAATTTCCCTAAACTGAATAGAAAAAAAAATACAGTAATTAAAAAAAAAATCAAATAGGATTATCTAGCAGAGAATTCTGTTGGTTCCAAAGAAAATACCATAAAAACATGGGCTGGGGTTGTGGCTCAGCAGTAGAGCACCCGCCTGGCATGTTCGAGGCCCTGGTTCAATCCTCAGCACCATAAACAAACAAACAAACAAACAAATAAAATAAAGGTTATTGTGTCAACTACAACTAAAAAATATTTTTAAAAAATACCATAAAAACAGAAGCAATGTCCTTGATATTAAAAAGTTTTAAAAGCTACTAAGCTAAGGGATACAAGTATGAGAAAAAATGCATAATAAAAATGGCAATATACAACCCAGTGAAAGTGCCACACAATACTCCATCTGTATTTTGCTCCCAATCTTCAAATTGGAGAAAGTAGAAAAAACAAATACCCAGATGAACATGCCTGAGACTGGCAGGTTTTATCGCTACACTGTTTTAAGGTCAGGCCTTCTCTTATAATTTTACACCTAGCACTCTGCAACACAGAAAATACAATAAGAACTCATTCACTATATGAGGGAATGAATTTATTCATTTATTTATTTATTTTAATTGTAGATGGACACAATACCTTTCTTTTTATGTGGTGCTGAGGATCAAACACCATGCCTCACACGTGATAGGCAAGCATTCCACCACTGACCTAAGCATTCCACCACTGACCTACAGCCCCAGTCCAAATTAATTCATTTAAAAAGCACCTTATTATTTGTATTCTACACAAACACAATGAGAGTGTGAGGATCAATCACAGGACTGCATCTGGAACTTTCATTAATTACTCACCGTAGTGCTTCTGCATAAAAAAGGTACTCCTTTAACTGATCTGCATAATGTTCTTCATCTTCCAAAATATCATCAATAGAAGATGCATACCTGTTTTTAAAAACACTGCATTAAACGAGTAATTTTCACTGGGACACAAAGCATTAACGTTCTAAAAAGTGTTTTTCAAAGTATGATCCACAGACCACTGACTACCTGTCAGTGACAAATTAGGAAAAGTGAAAATTATCATTTAGAAACATTAATGGCAATTTGTAATTGGTATGCTAATTTTACTGAATTTTGCCAAACTGCAAAGACTTAGAAATAAAACAAATAAAAAATAGTCCTTCTTACAAAGAAAACCTGATCTACTGGAATCTTGTTTTTTTTTTTTTTTTTAATTTTTAAAT